GGATCCAAGTGTAACCAACTGTTACTAGTAATAATCAGATATATAGAGATTAGAGATGCATGTGAAAACATCTAAGTGTTCATAGCAGTAAAAATGAGTTTTTCTATAGGAAACAGTATATTTTAAAATGAAATGGAGATCTTTTTTAAAGGTTAAAACCTCACTCAATTTTATGTCTTACAAGATTTATACTGAGTTCAATATTGTATAGTTGTATTAGTTCAACTATGAACCTAGAAATTTACAGCCAATTTTGAAAGAGATGCATCTTTGCTCTGGAAATTGTTACTGAATATGTTAATGCTATAATGAAAGGCTTCTTCTAATCATGTAGTTATTAAATAAATAATTAAAAAAATAAAAATAATTATCTTGATTTCCTTGAGAGCACGGATAGGGTTTGTACTTTAAACACTATGCTCATGCCTCATTTCTTTTCCTGTCAACAGGACTTGTCATTTCTAAGCCTGATGTCATCTCCTTATTGGAGCAAGGGAAAGAGCCATGGTTGATTGCTAATTATATGACAAGACCATGGGACCCAGGTGAGTGAGGGCTGGACTGGCTGGAGAGGTCCTGGGGCTAACAGCCCAGAGTGTCAACCCATACGGTTACTGTCCATAGGTTGCTGTGGAATAAAGTCCTGAGACAGGAAGTCATGAAGAGGGAAGAAATGCTAGTCTGTGCCTTTAGCTCCCGTCCTTTCTCCTCCCCCTTCAAAAAAGAATGTGCTTCCCCCCCAATGGCTGCCTTTTGACCTGCAGTCTGCATGCTTTGTTTATTCAATTATTTATTTGTTCGTTTATTTATTTTTGGCAGGAATCTTCATATCTTTAAAAAGCTTGTTTTCCTAAAGTTGCCTCCCGGTGAATAGGGGGCACATGCCTGTGATCCAGAACTCAGGAGAATGAGGTGGGAGGATTGAAAGTTCTAGGCCAGCCTAGACTGTGTAGAGAGTTCATGTCAAAACCAAAAAAGGCTTGCTTCTTGTTTTATCTAATTCAGCCATTCTTTTATTCATGTATTCTCTTAGCTTTTGAGAAGTGTGGTTGAGGGTGTGGACTCTGGAGTCAGATGACCTTGACCTGAGTTCAAATCCTGACATGTGCTCATTCTCCCACCCCGTCCGTTTCTTTCCCTCTTTCTCCCCATCTCCCCCTCTCTCCCCTGTCCCTCCCCCTCTCTCTCCCTCTTTTCTAAGGACTGGAGGTATAGCTCAGTGGCAGAGTCCTTACCTGACATTCAAAAGGCCAAATTTGAACAGTTCCTAGGACCACATTTAAGAAAAAAAAAAAAGGAAATATTGTATTTTTAGAAATATCTGATTTTTCCCACTTAGTGCTTCTAACCCTGAATTCTGTTTTTCTTGTTTTGTTTGTTTGTTTGTTTGTCTTATTGAGACAGGATCTCCCTATAGCCCTAGCTGGCCTGGATTGGAGACCAGGCTGGCCTCAAACTCACAGAGATCTGCCTGCTTCTGCCTCCCTGGTGCTGGGATTAAAGGTGTGCGCCACCACGTGTGGCCTAAATTCTGTTTTTTCTTTTCTTTTTTTTTTAAATTTTTTGTCTTTTTGAGACAGGGTCTCCCTGTAGTCACAGCTGGCCTGAATTCACTATGGAGACCAGGCTGGCCTCAAACTCAGAGCAATCCACCTGTCTCTGCCTCCTAAGTGCTAGGATTAAAGGCGTGCGCCACCATAGATTCTGTTTTTTCTAACATTAAATGTTCTCCTTGAGGTAGATGAACAATTCATGACTTTATTATTTCTAACCATTGCCTCCCTGTTTTGCTTATGTCCATTATAGCCAAGACTTGTACACTTTCTTCTTCTTTTTTAATATTTATTATTTTTATTTTATGTGTACAAGTATATTATCTGCATGTATGTGAGTGCACCTGTGTCATGCAATGTCACTGAGGTCAGAAGAGGGTGTCAAATTCCCCTGGAACTGGAGTTAAGGACGGTTTGTAGCCACCATGTGGGTGCTGGGAATCGAACCTGATAGGTAAAAAGTAGCCATGTGATGAATAGGGTTGATCAGGAGAAAGCAGAGTTTATTAGCCAAGGAGCACATGGGACAGACTCCATTCCGGGCAGGGAAAATGTCTACCCGGGTCATGAGCTGTGGTCTTTTTAATGGGGGGGCTTCTGCTTCCTACAGAAGGTGGAAAATGTATTTTTAAAGCTGGGCAGGGGTGGGGGGTAGGAGAGCTGGACTGTTAAAACCTGTCCTCTTTAGAGATCAAAGGGGAAGCCTGCTGTGTTGGCCAAACAGTGGAGAAAAGTCTGCTTCTCTTGACTTCAAAGACCAGGGTGCTTATCAACTCAGTTCCCTTTTCTCAGGAGCTTGTAAGGTCCCTGAGACCCTGTTGGTGAGGGGGCGGGGCTATCTGAACCATAACAGAACCCAGGTCCTCTGCAAGAGTCAGTGCTCTTAACCGCTGAGCCATCTCTCCAGGCTCCTTTTTAAAATTTTTTGAATAACATTTATTTGAAATGTGTGTGTCCATGTGTGGAGGTCAGAGGACAATTTCAGGAATTGGTTCTTCCACCATGTGGGTACCAGGGATCGAACTCAGTTGTCAGGCTTGTCAGCAGATGCTTTTACCTGCTAAAACATCTTGCTGACCCTGTTGTTTTCTTTTTGAATAAGTGTGAGGTCCTGTGAGTAAGGGTCTTCAGTCCGCTCATACAGTCACAGCTAGGTGCCTGTTCATTCTCATTTCTAGCTTTCCGTTTCCCTGTATGTGTGTACGCACATACACATGCATGCACACACAGACAAGCACATGCGCACGCACACACTGTGACCCTGCCCCTATAGACCTTGATTCAGTCTAGAGAGATGTAGACATTTGTATTGTTAATGGGCTTTCTGAGTGATTCTGATCAATATCAAAACTGAGAACCTCAGAGGCTGGAGAGATGCTCAGCAGTTAAGAGCACTGGCTGCTCTTGCAGAGGATCCTGTTTAATTCCTAGCACCCACATGGATGGGTGTTACCATCCTTAACTCCAGTTCCAGGAGATCTGATGTCCTTTTCTGACCTCCATGAGCATTGCATAACATGGATGCACTTACATACAGACAGGCAAAACACTTATACACATAAAATTAAAATAAAGTTTTAAAAATTGAGAACTTTGGGGCTACAGAGATGACTCAGTGGTTAAGAGCACTGGCTGCTCTTGAAGAAGACCTGAGTTCCAATCTCAGCACCCACATGGCAACTAACAACCATCGGTTACTCCAGTTCTAGGTAATCTGATACCCTGTCCTGTCCTCCACAGGCATTGCACAACATGGGTACACTTGCATACATACGCAAAATACACACACACATAAAATAAAAACAAAGTAAAAAAAATTTTAAGTATTTAAAAAAATTGAGACGGGTTGGAGAGATGGTTCAGCAGTCAAGAACACTGGTTGTTCTTTCAGAAGACCCGGGTTTGAATCCCAGGACCCACATGGCAGCTAACAACTGTCTGTAACTCCAGTCCCAGGGGATCCGACAGCCTCTTCCGAGGGCATTGCACAATACAGGTGCACTTACCTATGTGCAGGCAATATACTCATACACATAAAATAAAAATACTACAAATAAAATAAAAAGCATCTTAAAAAATTGAGAATCTGAGGCTTAACTTCTTTTCTTGCCCCATTCTGATACCATATGCACTTTTATCATATGTGTGCTTTCATGTGCTTTTTAGAAATTGCTCAGCATTTGAAACATTAAGCCATCCTTTTTTTGGGGGGGGGGGCAGGGTCTCCCTGTAGCCCCAGCTGTCCTGGAACTCACTATGTAGACCAGGCTGGCCTCAAACTCACAGAGATCCGCTTGCCTCTGCCTCCTGAGTGCTAGGATTAAAGGCGTGCACCACCACGCCCAGCTTTTTAAACTATCCATTTTTTCAATGATGAAAGTACTCATTTTGTCTTCCCTATTTTACTGTGAAATTTTTCATTTCTCATTGAAAAAGACAGCTTGTATTTACTTTTCTCTGATTTTTCAGACTTGGAGTCAAAGTGTGAGACATTTCCACAGAAAGATCTCTTTGCAGTAGAGTCATTCACATGGGAGGGAATGGAAAGCTTTAAATACCGTGACCCTGACCATGACTCCTGCTTCACAGATGACTGGGAATGCCAAGACCAGTTTGAAAGACAGCAAGGGAGTCAGGCATGCCATCACCGGGAAGTGGAAATCACCTATGAAAACATGCCTGCTTTTGAGCATCACACGTCTGTCACCCTACATCAGAGCGACAGGACTGGCAAGAAAGTCATTGAATGTAGTGAATGTGGGAAAGTGTTTAGCCGTGGCTCACACCTTATGCAGCATCAGAAAATTCATACTGGTGAAAAGCCCTTTGAATGTAGGGTGTGCAGGAAGGCCTTCAGTCGTGTCTCACACCTTGTTCAGCATCAGAGAATTCATACAGGTGAGAAACCCTACGACTGTCAGGAGTGTGGGAAGGCCTTCGGTCGTGCTTCAGACCTCATTCTCCATCAGAGACTTCACGCTGGTCTCAAACCCTATGAATGTAAAGAATGTGGACGGACCTTTAGGCAGCAGTCACAGCTTATTCTGCACCAAAGAACTCATACAGGTGAGAAGCCCTATGTATGTCAAGACTGTGGGAAGGCTTTTATTCGTGGCTCCCAGCTTACTGTCCATTGGAGAATTCATACAGGAGTTAGACCCTATCAGTGTAAAGAATGTGGGAAAGCCTTCAGACAGCACTCACAGCTCACTGTACACCAGCGAATCCACACTGGGGAAAAGCCCTATGAGTGCAAGGACTGTGGAAAGGGCTTTATCCATAGCTCAGAAGTTACTCGACATCAAAGAATTCATTCTGGGGAAAAGCCTTATGAATGTAAGGAATGTGGGAAAGCCTTCAGACAGCATGCACAGCTCAGGCGACATCAGAGTGTTCATACTGGTGACAGACCCTTTGAATGTAAGGACTGTGGGAAGGCCTTTAGTCGTAGTTCATACCTCATTCAACATCAAAGAATTCACACAGGTGACAAGCCCTACGAATGTAAGGAATGTGGGAAAGCCTTTATTCGTGTTTCCCAGCTGAATAATCATCAGAGAATTCATACTTATGAGAAACCCTACAAATGTAGGGAGTGTGGAATGGCTTTTATTCGAAGTTCACAACTTACTGAACATCAGAGACTTCATCCTGGTATCAAACCTTATGAGTGTCGAGAATGTGGGCAGGCTTTTATCCTCGGTGCTCAGCTCATCAACCATTACCGAATTCATACTCTCTAGAAACATTCTAGTCTCAAACATCAGGGATGTAGACAGGCCTTTATGCAGAGTTCACACCTGTCAGTGTTAGATCACACTTGATGTAATGTAACTAGTGTTGGAAAACCTTCATTTGTCACTTCTGTATAGGATTATCAGAGAACTCATGCCAGTAGAAAATTCAAGAAATGTGCAGATTCTTCTTGCTTTGTTCACTGTTTACTAAGCATCAGCAAACCTATGCTAAAAACAACCTAATATGAATGTAGAAAAGTCTTTTATTATGGCTCAAAATATCCTGTATTTCTGGGAATTCCAAATAGACAGTGACCTGATTAAAAGATTATGTGGCTTGGGCTGACCAGGAAGATTACTTGGGTGCAAGAGTTTGAAATGAGCCTGGGCAACAAACAAATACCCATCTCAAAAACATAAATTGTGAATGTGGCTTTTGGTTGATATATTGTAGACCAACTGTTCCAGTTTGCTTTCAATTGCAATGCTAAAAACACTGACCAAAACCAACGTGGGGAAAGGGTTTATTTGACTTACAGCACAGTCCACTGTCAAGGGAAGCCAAGGCAGGAACTCAGGGCAGGAATCTGGAGCACAGACCATGGAGGAACACAGCTTACTGTCTTGCTCCCCTGGCCTGTGCTCAGCCTGTTTTCTTGAGAGCTTATTTGGAGGTTCTAGCAGGGGAGCGCAGCTACTCTTATGCCCTTGATCCATCCTCCTCTATCAAGGAAGATCATCCTCTTCCCAAGCACAAAGCTTCTGGAGGGACGTATGTGGAGAGTTGAGGAAGGGACACCCACCTAGCCAGCCAGATCAGCCAAATCAACCCTGGCAATCAACGGGGTGACAGATGTCATAGCCAGATCGCCTTTACATCCTTAGCCTGTTTTCTTATACAGCACAAGACCATCTGCCCAGGGTTGGCACCTCTCACAGTGGGCTGGGCCCTCCCACGTTACTCAACAATCAAGAAAATTCCTCACAGACATGGCCACAGGCCAGTCCAATGGAGGAAATCCCTCAGTTGAGGGTCCCTCTCTACCCAGGTGTGTCAAGCTGACAACTAAAGCTGTCCAGAACACAACCTTGGCATTGCCTCACTCTGCCGATGACTGTCATTGGACATATGCAATCTCTTTGTCCCTTGTTTGTACTTTCTTTTAAGGTACATGTATGTGTATATCTATAGATGCACACATGCATGTGCCCATGGATGCCAGAAGGTGTCAGATTCCCTGGAGCTGGAGGTACTGGTGGTTCTGAGCTGCCTGATGAGGGTGCTGGGAACTGAACTTAGGTCCTCTACAAGAGCAGCCATGCTTTTAACCATTAAGCCATCTCTCCAGCCCCTATTCTTTTCACTTTTTGTTTTTTGGTTTGTTGTTGTTGTTGTCTTTTTGAGACAGGGTCTCCCTGTATCCCTAGCTGGCCTGGAACTCACTATGTAGACCAGGCTGGCCTTGAACTCACAGAGATCCACCCGCCTCTGCCTCCTGAGTGCTGGGATTAAAGGTGTGCACCACCACACCCGGCCAGTTATTTTTATTTTTGAGACAGTGTGACCCCAGTTGACTTCAAACTTACTATGTAGCTGAAGATGACCTTGAACTCTTAATCCTCCTGCCTCCCAAGTTCTGGGACTACAGGCATGCACTACCATGCCCAGCTAACTTCTTGTTTTTTGAAGAAACCATTATTTGCCTTGTGGAAGATACCATGGTGTATAATCTAACATGCATTGCTATCTCTGATATTTTCTGAAGTGGGTAGTTAAGATTTAGATACTTGGAACTGGAGGGATGATTCAGTGGTTAAGAGCATCTTGCCCCTTGCGGAGGACCTGAGTTCAGTTTCCAGCACTCACATTGTGGCTCACAACCATCTGGAACTCCAGTTCCAGGGGATCTGATGCCTTCTTGTGACCTCCTAGGGCATTGCATGCACATGGTGTACTTACAAACATGCAGGCAAAACACCCATACACATAAAATAAAAATAAATCATTGAAAAAAAAAGATTTAGAAACTTGATCAGAGGCCAGGCAACTTGATCAGAGACTGGGCGTGGTGACACACACCCTTAATCCCTGTACTCAGGAGACAGAGGCAGGTGGATATCTATGAGTTTGAGGCCACTTGTGGCTACAAGGTGACCCTGTCTCAAAGAGACCAAAAAAACAAAACAAAAAGCAACAACAACAAAAAACTTGATCATATGGAGGTTCATTTTAAGATTACTTTGAAATGGTTATGTTGCTAGGCATGGTGTTACACTAATCCAAGCAGTCTGGAGGTACAGAAGCAGGAGGTTCTCTGTGAGTTTGAGTCCTCAGCCTGGTCTACATATCAGGTTTCAGGCCAGCCAGGGCTACATAGTGAGACCCTGTCTCAAAAAAGAAAAAGTGGTTACTATTAAGAGATAAAGAAGATAGCTGGGCGTGGTGGTGCATGCCTTTAATCCCAGCACTTGGGAGGCAGAGGCAGGCAGATCTCTGAGTTCAAGGCCAGCCTGGTCTACATAGTTCCAGGATAGCTGGGGCTACAGGGAGACCCTGCCTCAAAAAGACAAAAAAAAAAAAGCTACTTTTGCAGAGGATCCAGATTTGGTTCCCAGCACACATATGGCTCCTAATAACTGTTCTTCATGCACTTACATACATGCAGGCAAACCACTCTTGCATATAAAAAAAGAATTAAAAAAATTAATCTAAAAATATGTCTTTGATATTAGCAGCTGTTTATGTTTAATTGATAAAACTGTTCATTCATGGGGCTGGAGAGATGGCTCAGTGGTTAGAAGCATTGACTGCTCTTGCAGAGGACCGGGGCTTGATTCCCAGCACCCACATGGCGGCTATGAACCATCTGTAACTCCAGTTCCAGGGAAATCTGAAGCCCTCTTCTGACCTCCACAGCACTGTATGACATGGGTGCACTTACATACATGCAGGCAATACACTCATACACATATGAAAATATTTTTTAAAATCTGTTAATTCATTGCAAAGAAGTGTTGTCTGGTTATTCTTTATTAGCTACCTACTATGTTTTCTTCTTCATTGGTGGGAGGCGTGTTAGTGATAAACCCAGGGCCTCAAGAATGCTAAACACAGCTGGGTGTGTGGCGCATACCTTTGATTCCAGCACTTGGGAGGCAGAGGCAGGTGAATCTTTGTGAGGCCAGCCTGGTCTACATAGTGAGTCCCAGGCCAGCTGTGGCTACAAGGAGACCCCCATCTCAAAAAAAGGAAGAATGCTAAGTACATGCTCTTACTGAGCTCTATCCCCAGCTGGAACCCTAGCCAGCCCGGAACTCACTATGTAGACCAGGCTGGCCTTGAACTCACAGAGATCCACATGCCTCTGCCTCCCCAGTGCCTGCATGTGTGTTAGTGCACCTGTGTTGTGCAGTGCCCACAGAGGTCAGAAGAGGGCATCAGATCCCCTGGAACTGGAGTTACAGACGGTTGTTAGCTGCCATGTGGGTGCTGCGATTCAAACCTGGGTCTCCTGCAAGAGCAGCCAGTGCTTTTAACCGCTGAGTCATCTTTTCAGCCCCGCCTTTTTGGTGTGTGTTTGAGTGTATTGCTTGCATGTAAGTGCGCCACATGGGTTTAATGCCCACAGGGGCCGGAAGGGGTGTTGGATTCCCTGGAACTGGAGTTAAAGACAGTTACTATCTGCCATGTGGGTGCTGGGAATCAAATCTGGGTCATTTGGAAGAACAGCAAGTGTTCTTAGCTGCTGAGCCATCTCTCCAGTCCCGGCCTTTTTATTTTTCATTGTGAATGTATGTATATCTCTGTGCTTATGTGCACAGCAGTGCAGGTGCCCACAGAGGCCAGAAGAGGACATTGGATCCCCTGGAGCTGGAGTTACCAGCAGTTGTAAGCCACCCAAGTTGGGTGCTGGCAACCAAACTTTAGTCCTCTACAAAAGCAGCAAACTCTGTTAACCACTGAGTCATCTCTCCAGCCTCTATATTTGCTTTTTAATGGTTTTTTTTTTTGGTCTTTTTGAGATAGGGTCTCTCTGTAGCCCCAGCTGGCCTGGAACTCACTATGTAGACCAGGCTGGCGTTGAACTCACAGATCCTCCTGCCTCTTCCTCCTGAGTACTGGGACTAAAGGCGTGGGCTAGGATTAAAACCACACCTGGCTTTAATGGTTATATTAAAACAGCAAAAGCTTGGTTTGGTGGTGCATACCTGTAATCTCAGCAGTCAACAGGCTGAGGAGTGAGGATCACAAGTTTCAGACAGCTTGGGCTATGCAGGAGGCCTGGTCCTGGGGAGAAGTGACATGGTTTGGGTTTAAAAAGCAAGTCCTGGGCTGCAGAGATGGCTCAGCAGCTAAGAACACTGGCTGCTCTTGCAGAGACACATGCTTGATGTGGTGGTGCACGCCTGTAGTCCCAGCACTTGGGAGGCAGAGGCAGGCGGACCGCTGTGAGTTCAAGGCCAGTCTGGTCTACACAGTGAGTTCCAGGACAGCTGGGGCTACAGGGAGACCCTGTCTCAAAAAGACCAAAACAATAAGTAAATGAAAAGTTAGGGTGGAGAGATGGCTCAGCAGTTAAGAGCACTGACTGCTCTTGCAGAGGACCCAGGTTTGAATCCCAGAACCCCACATGGCAACTAACAATGGTCTGTAACTCCAGTTCCAGGGGATATGACACCCTCTTCTGATTTCCTTGGGAACTGCATGACATGGGTGCACTTACACACACTCAGGCAATACACTCATAAAATAAAATCCGAGTTGGGTGTGATGGTGTACACCTTTAATCCCAGGAGGCAGAGGCAGGCGGATCTCTGTGAATTCGAGGCTAGCCTGGTCTACATAGGGAGTTCCAGTCTAGCTGGGGCTACATAGGGAGCCCCATCTCAAAAAAAAAAAAATCTTAATAAGCAAGTCCTAAATAACTATCAGAGGACTGGAGTATTAAGGTTCAGGTTGGAGGGACAGTTGAATGGTTCTGCCACAAGGTGGGAGCAGAGTGACACCAAAGTGAGGTTCTGGGCTTTGGAAGGGCTCTTGAGGTCAGTCCCCAAATATGCCTGCCACCAGTAGCAACTTTTGTTTTTTTTGTTTTTGTTTTTTCATTTTGAATTTTTTTTTTTTCTGGACTTTTGGAGACAGGGTCTCCCTGTAGCCCCAGCTGGCCTGTAACTCTCTATGTAGACCAAGCTGGCCTCGAACTCACAGAGATCCGCCTGCCTCAGCCTCCGGAGTGCTGGGATTAAAGGCATGCTCCCCACAACTGGCTGAGCTTTTTCAAAATTACATTTATTTATTGGCGGGGGCAAGGGAGGAGGTAACTTCTGTTACAAAAGAATCCCATTTCCTCTTAGGGGTCTCTCGTTTTTCTCTGTGTCTCTCACTCGGTAGACAGAACACATAGTTTACCTCCGCCCACGCTCTTCTCAAATTCCGGGGTAGGGTTAGATGGGGGAGGGAAAGGTTCTTGTGGGCCGCAGCTGTCTGCAGAAACTCTCAACTGTATTCCCTGGCACCGATGGCACGTGGGCTGGACCAACCGAAACACAGAAACAGATGGCGGGGGACTGCAGGAGCGACCTCTCTCCCCGCGCACTGGACCAATCCCGCGTGCCCAGTCCCCGCTACCCAAGCCCGGCGGAGGCACGCCCCCGACTGTCAGTTTGGTGCGGAGGGCGTGGTCTGGGATCCCACCGGACCAGGCTCGTCCTGTCCTTGGGTGGAGAGGGGAGGCGACTCCAGCGGCAGACGACAGAAGAATGAGGGCCCTGCGGGTGAGGCCCCGCCCCGATGGCTGGACCGGGAGGCGGGGCATCCTCACAGCCTAAATCTGTAACCTGAACGTCCTAGGATCTGGGGCTTGGGAACATGAGTCCCCTTCAGGGTCCGGGACTTGCTCCTGGGACAGTTCCCAGATAACCTGAGCTTAAGTACTAATGTGGACCAGAACCCCAGATTTAAATCTCCCTTCACGTGAGGCTCCCTTAATGTCCCTAGGAAACCCAACTCCAACTCAGGGCATCTCAGGCATCCTGGAAACTCCTCCAAGCCAGTCCTGACATCTCTGGGACCTTTCTCCTATTCATTAATCCAGGAGACAGACACACAGAGACACACACGCACCAGCCCCTAGGCACTTCAGGCACACAGCCCCAGCACTGAAGCCTCCAGGGACCCTCTAGACCTTCTGCTGACCTTTAAGCCTACACACTCTAGACAGCTTACCCCCTTTCCCCTTCTGTTTGATTTTTTTCAGGTTTTGTTGTTTGGGGTTTGGGTTTTTTTTTTTTTTTTCTTCCCAACAGACTCTCTTGTAGCCCAGGCTAGACTAGAAATCACTAAGAAGCAGAGGATGACCTGGAATTCATGATCTTCCTTGCTCCCATTCTTCAAGTGCTAGAATTATAGAAGTACAAACTGGGTTTTCCTTTTTTGTTTTGAGATGGGGTCTCCCTATGTAGCTCTGGTTGACCTGAAACTCATTAAGCTTGACTTAGGGAGATCTGCTTGCCTCCAGAGTGCTAGAGTTAAAGGTGTGTGCCATCATGCCTGGCTTTTTGGGGGAGGAAGGGGGAACTCAGAGAAGTTAAGAGAATGGCTCTTCCACTGGGTCTATCCCCTAGTCTTTTTTTTTTGTTTTGTTTTTTGTGGGCTTTCTTTTTTTTTTTTTTTGACAGCGTCTCATGTAACCCAAGCTGGCCTGGAGCTTCTGATCCTCCTGCCTCAACTTCCTAAGTGGGAAAACCGGCTGTGTGTCACGGTTCCTCTGTCTTTTTAAAAACAATGTTTTTATTTCAAGTGTAGGAGTGTTTTGCCTGTATGTATGTAAGTGCACCTGTGCATGCAATGCCCAGGTGCATCAGATCCCATGGAACTGGAGTTACAGATGGTTGTTAGCAGCCATGCAGCTGCTGGCAACTGAACCTGGGTCCTCTGCAAAAGCAGCCTGTGCTCTTAACCCATGAGCCGTCTCTCCAGCCTCCCTCCACCCCCACCCCCTTTTTTTGAGGTCCCACTAAGTAGCCAGGGCTGACATGGAACTCCCAATACTCCAGCTTGAGTGCCAGGATTATAGGCAGTTATCATGCCCAGCTCCACAAATCCCTGCCTGTACCTTCTCCACCCTTGCTGGTGACATATCTTACATTTGAAATGTTCCAGACAGGATGGTCCCAACCTGGGTGTGAGGAACAGCTTTCCACACATGGGGACACCCAAGTGCCTCCAACCCACCCACCTCCTATTCCTGAAGGTCTCTCAGGCACTGATTCGTTCCTTCAGCTCATCTGCCCGGCACAGACTGGAAAACCGTGTGGCAGAGAAGCAGAAACTCTTCCAGGTAGGTCTCTAGACCTAGCAGGGTGTAGGGTGAGTGGGCAGGGGCAGGGCCAAGAGAGGTCTGTGAGAACCAGCACCCTGTTCTCATCTGCACCTCCCACACCCAGGCTGACAATGATCTCCCAGTATACTTGAAGGGAGGGGGAATGGACAGCGCCCTATTTGGCCTGACTATGGCACTGACAATGGGAGGTGAGTGTAGGGCCCACTGGGCCTGGGTTGTTTGTCTTGAGGACTGCCAGGTGTCTGGGGGGCCAGAAGAAGGGTTTAGCACTTAGGGAGGGGTTGAGTCCTGAAGTGACCAGGTTTGGGGATGGGACTGGTGTTCAGGATGGGAGTAATGGGTCAGCTATGTCCCAGGACAAAGCTGGGCTAATGATGGGCCTGTCCACCCCCTCCCCCAAAAAGGTCCCAGCCTGGTCCACATCAACATCAGGGACATTCCCACCCAGAGTCCAGTTTGTGGGAGGGAGCTGACACCTGACCTGTAGGTGTGATCCATGATGTAAATGGGGGAACCTGCAGCGGGGCTTTTAAAAGCCAAGGTTGGGCAAGGGTTGGGGGCTCAATCTGTATCCTCTGACTCCCCCTTCCTAGGTACTATCTACAGTTTGTACTTCCTGGGCTGTGCCACCTTCCCCCACAAGAAGTGAAGTGAAACCAAGGAGCGTGGAGGACTTGGACAAACATCAATAAATGCATTAATGTCCTGAGATCCCTACTTTTCTAGCTCTGGCTGTGTGTGTGTGTGTGTGTGTGTGTGTGTGTGTGTGTGTGTGTGTGTCCCATCTCATCCCTCAGGGATGTCTGCCCAGTGGATAGCCAGTTATCCCAGTCCTTGGCCTCTCCTGCTGGACCAGTACTCCATCTAGGATGTCCTCCTGCTTCTCAGACCTTGGCTAAAGGCTCTAAATAGCACTCTAGGGCTGACCCATGGGGCTGAGGACCTGGTGGTGACTCCGAGTAGGACAGGGATACTGCATTCTGGGATGGCAGCCCCTCACTCTATAGAAGCCCGAAGCCGGGGGAAGAAGGAAGATGCTGAGCATAGTCTGTGAGCCAAAGAGAGCAGACACTGGCTCAAAGACTGAAGCTGGCTGGTACCGGAGCTCAGTGGTACAGCACCTTCCTAGAATCCCACAGTGAGGGGCTGGGGGGCATTGCTCAGTGGTAGAGCAGTTGCCCAGAATCCACTAGCGAGGAGCTGGGGCTGTGGTTCAGTGGTAGAAAACTTGCCTAGCATGTACAAAGCCCCACATTTCATCAACCAACCAACCAACCAACCAATTAATTGAAAGACTAAAAGCTCAGGAAGGTGCAAACATGGCCCTGAGGGGCAGAGTACAGGGTGTCACTTGCTGAGATCCCTTACCAACTTCATCAGGACCATCCAGGGTTCTAGGTTCCATTCTGAGCCTGCATGGATAGGACCTCAGCAAAACCAGACTCAACTTGGAGCCCAGTATGAGAAAAAAGATGCAAAGCAGGAAATAGAAATGGGCCAAAGATAGGCACAGAAAACTTTCATCCCAAGTCCGTTCCATAGAAGCCAGTCTCCCTCCTCCCTGGACTGTGAGCCACCTCTCAACTCTCAGAACAAGAAGCAGTTCCCATAGGAAGCAGGAGTGTTTATTTCCTCCTGGGAATGGCAGGCTGGGGGAACAGAGGGCAGGCAAAGGCACTAGGGTGTGTTGGCCTGCCATAGCCTGGAGTTTATTTGGCTGCCTGGGTGGTAAGGGTGAATAAGTGTGTGCCAGGGTATGCAGGGACAGGAGTGATCCTCTCAGAACTGAGATAGGGCCCTTGGGACATGGAAGCAATCTGTGTTTTGGCACAGGTACAGAAGACCTGGTAATAGGGTGTGGGATGGGTGTGATGGGGTGGGGTGACCTTTAGGCAGAGCACGCTAGTGTGCTTTAGAGCCAGGGATAGCTCAAGGTATGGCAAGCTGGGGCATGTTGGTCTGGTACGAGGGCTGGGAAAAGACCTGTGGGGAGAAGACGTGACCATGAAAACATGACTGCAGACAAGATCAGGGTCCAAGGTGGCTCCAGGATGAGCACTGAGGGGCCTGGTCTGGACTTCTCATTCAGGAATACATAGTCAGCTGCAGCCACTGGAAGAGGAAGGCACAGATGAGCAAGGAGCCCCAGGGTACCACACGCCTCACTCAGGGACTGCTGGGTGATCAGGATGGAGGAGGCTGGGATTCAGAGCTGAGCACCCAGCCAGCAGGACAGGGGACCTTACCTCCTGGATGTTCACTTGGATCTGTCCAGTTCCATCTTTGTCAAGAGATTTGAAGGCACCTGGGGGGAGAGGGGAGGAAAGTGGGGGTATGTGTGTGAATGGTTTTTTAAAAAAAAATTCCAGTTTGTCTATTGTATATGTGGGCATGTATACTACAGCTCATGTGTGGAGGTATAGGAGTCATTTTCTCCTTTCACGATGTGGGAACCTGGGGGTTGAATTCAGGTTGTCAGGTTTGGTGGCAAGTGCTTTACCTGCTGAGCCATTTTACCAGCCCGTGAATGGCTTTTAGGATAGTATTATACTGATACATGGGATGACGATAATAGTCAGCACTTCATTGATCTTTTTTCTTCTGTGCCAAGAACTGCGTAAAGAATTTTGGGGGTGGGGGCGCTGGCAAGATGGCTCAGCAGTTAGGAGCACTGGCTGTTCTTGCAGAATATTTGGGTTTGATTCCCAGCCACATGGTGGCTAACAACCATCTGTAACTCCAGTTTCAGGGTATCCGACATGCTCTCTGACCTCCATGGGCATTGCATGACCTAGGTGCACCTATGTACATGCAGGCAATATACACATAAAAAATAATGAAAAAAGGGACTGGAGAGATGGCTCAGCGGTTAACACCACTGACTGTTCTTGCAGAAGATCCAGGTTCAAATCCCAGCACCCACATGGCAGCTAACAACTGTCCGTAACTCCAGTCCCAGGGGATCCGACAGCCTCTTTTGACCTCTGTGGACATTGCATGACACAGGTGCACTTACCTACATGCAGGCA